CCAGCCCGTCAACCACTGCTGTCCTCCTTGTCCCTCTCAACCATCCGCCAGCGCGAGCGGACATCATCTTCCCACAGTCATGTGTCTGTCAAGGACATGTTTGAGCGTAAGAAGACAATGTCAGAAAGTCACCCCTTGCCCAGCGTCTGACTGCTGGCTTGTCCGAACTATTAGCCCGCCAGCTTTTACCATACAAGCTGGTGGAGTCTGAGGCGTTCAAAAAATTTGTAGCTATTGGGACACCGCAGTGGAAGGTACCGGGCCGAAATTTCTTTTCACAAAAGGCAATCCCCAACCTGTACTCGATTGTGCAAAAGGAAGTAATGGCATGTCTGGCACACAGTGTTGAGGCAAGGGTCCATCTGACCACTGATACCTGGTCTGCAAAGCATGGTCAGGGCAGGTATATCACCTACACTGCGCATTAGGTAAACCTCTACTCCTCCTACTCCTCTTCCATAACCTCCTCGGCTGAGTCCTCTTCTGCTGCTGCGTCTTGCTCCACATCAGCAGCACCCCCAGCTCCCCAGGTACTATTCCACATCCCGGATCACGGCAGTGTCCGCCCGTCTTAGGTTTGACTTGCTGGAAGCAGAGAGTCACACCCGGTCAGCACTCTGTCGCCCTGTCCCACAGGTGGAAAAGTGGCTGACTCATGCTTGACTGGATATGCGGCAAAGTGGTTTGTGACAGCGGAACAAATTTGTTAAGCGGCAGTTGGGCAAGTTGACACATGTGCCGTGCATGGCACATGTGTGTAATCTGATCGTACAACGCTTTGTGCATAAGTACACAGGCTTACAGGACGTCCTGAAGCAGGCCAGGAAGGTGTGTGGCCATTTCAAGCGTTCCTACACGGCCATGGCTCACTTTGCCGATATCCAGCGGCGAAACAACATGCCAGTGAGGCGCTTGATTTGCGACAGCCCGACACGTTGGAATTCAACACTCCTAATGTTCAGCCGCCTGCTCCAACAAGAAAAAGCCGTTAATGAATATTTGTATGACCGGGGTGCTAGGACAGCCTCTGGGGAGCTGGGAATTTTTTTGCCACGTTACTGGACGCTCATGCGCAATGCCTGTAGGCTCATGCGTCCTTTTGAGGAGGTGATAAATTTAGTCAGTCGCACCGAAGGCACCATCAGCGACATCATACCATTTGTTTTCTTCCTGGAGCGTGCCCTGCGAAGAGTGCTGGATCAGGCCGTAGATGAGCGTGAAGAGGAAGAGGAAGAGTTCTGGTCACCATCACCACCAGAAACAGCCTTATCAGCATCGCTTGCTGGACCTGCGGCAACGCTGGAAGAGGATTGTGAGGAAGAGGAGTCAGAGGAGGAATTTTGCTTTGAGGAGGAGGAGGAGCAAGACCAACCACAACAGGCATCCCAGGGTGCTCATTGTCACCTATCTGGTACCAGTGGTGTTGTACGTGGCTGGGGGCAGAACATACCTTCATTGACATCAGTGAGGAGGAGGAACGGGAAATGAGTAGCTCGGCATCCAACCTTGTGCAAATGGGGTCTTTCATGCTGTCGTGCCTGTTGAGGGACCCTCGTATAAAAAGGCTGTCAATCCATATCTGCCAAGTGACCCGATGTAAGAGGAACAGTCCCTATTCTGCTCTGTGTCAGTGTGTATCAGGGGCTCTGAGGACAGGTGTCAATCCATATCTGCCAAGTGACCCGATGTAGGAGGAACAGTCCCTATTCTGCTCTGTGTCAGTGTGTATCAGGGATCCCTAGGACAGGTGTCAATCCATATCTGCCAAGTGACCCGATGTAGTGGGAACAGTCCCTATTCTGCTCTGTGTCAATGTGTATCAGGGATCCTTAGGACAGGTGTCAATCCATATCTGCCAAGTGACCCTATGTAGGAGGAACAGTCCCTATTCTGCTATGTGTCAGTGTGTATCAGGGAACCTTAGGACAGGTGTCAATCCATATCTGCCAAGTGTAGGGAGGGAACAGTCCTATTCTGCTCTGTGTGAGGAGGAGGAATGGGAAATAGTAGCTAGGCGCAACCTTGTCTAAATGAGGTCTTTCATGCTGTTGTTTGTTTGAAGGGGACACCATTAAAAAAGGCTGAAGGAGAACGACTGTGCTGGGTGTCCACGCTACTAGACCCCGGTATAAGCAGACAGTAATGAATGTGACCGATTACAAGTGAAGGGTAGCATTTGCAAGCCAAATTAATGCTTTACACAGCGTATAAGGGTGATGTCACAACAGGAATCTAACAGGGGAAGAGGTGAAAGTAATCCTCCTCCTCCCACGACCACGCCAGCAAGGACAGGACACTTTACAGACGTGTTGTTGATGGAGGACATGCGGAGCTTTTTAAGTCCTACGCATCGCCACAGCCCTTCGGGGTCCACCCTCAGAGAACGACTTGACCGACAGGTAGCAGACTACCTCGCCTTAACTGCAGATATCGACACTCTGAGGAGCGATGAACCCCTTGACTACTGGGTGTGCAGGCTTGACCTGTGGCCTGAGCTATCCCAATTTGCGATAGAACTTCTGGCCTGCCCCGTTTCAAGTGTCCTGTCAGAAAGGACCTTCAGTGCAGCAGGAGGTATTGTCACTGAGAAGAGAAGTCGCCTAGGTCAAAAAAGTCTAGATTACCTCACCTTTATTAAGATGAATAAGGGATGGATCCCGAAGGGACTGACACTGGGCGATACATCCGACTAAAAAAGGCCTGATGAGATGAGCTGCCTTGGGCTAAAAATGGTCCACACGCTGCTGTATTTTACCCTCTGAATGCCGGTTGACTTGCGTGACTTATCCGCCACCAACTAGGGTTCAAGCCGCCATGTTTTAGGGCACTTTCTGCCTGTGAAGCAAACATCAATTTTTCTGGCCGCTGCTACAGCAGCGGCTGCAACAATACCGAATTTTTCAGGCATGTGTACATGCCTAATTTTTAGGCCCTCTGGTGCTGCACTGTGGCTTCAAAACTTTTTTCACTGTTATAGATTGAATAGCAGTTAGTTGTCTGCAAGTGTCAGAAAGTCACCCCCTTGCCCGGCGTCTGACACCTGGCTTGTCTGAACTATTAGCCCGCCAGCTTTTACCATACAATCTGGTGGAGTCTGAGGCGTTCAAAAAATTTGTAGCTATTGGGACACCGCAGTGGAAGGTACCCGGCCAAAATTTCTTTGCGCAAAAGGCAATCCCCAACCTGTACTCGACTGTGCAAAAGGAAGTAATGGCATGTCTGGCACACAGTGTTGGGGCAAGGGTCCATCTGACCACTGATACCTGGTCTGCAAAGCAGTGGGTACTTTATAAATGGCTCCACCTGCCACCCGTACAGCAACACAGTCTCCAGTTAGGAGGACCGACCAAGCATCTTCTTCCATCTCCCTGTTCCAAAAATCGCTGCCATATACACGTCCATTGATAGGAGACGCAACAGGTATTAAACTGATAAGAATAGTACTAAACACACCACTCCTATCTGGTGGCACATTAGATTGCACGCGCAGTGCCCCGTCTCTATTCCGCTCTTTTTTTAGTGTGTATCAGGGGCTTTGAGGACGGGGAACAGTCTCTATTCTGCTCTTGCATTTCTATTTCTTCTTAGATAACAAAAAAATTCTGAGACGACGTTGGCAGGGCTCTTCACTTGTGTGATCTGTCATGAATTGTCATTTGAATGTTAATTTGAACTGTGTTGTCTGCAAACGTCAGAAAGTCGCCCCCTTGCCCGGATGTTTTGTTCCTCAGATATATACTATACATTGTCGATGCTAACGATGTGGCTCCTGAGCCGCTAAGGTGCGTTCTGTGTGTGTCCCATGTGTGCAGCATCAGTTTAGTGGTCTCTAGCATGTGTGGTGTTGTCGGCCTCACTTGTTTTGGCACCCAAAATAAGTGGTGCATGCCCAGTGGGATTCAATATCAACCCATTGCGGTGGATTTTCTGCCCTGTGTGCCGTGGCCAACGTGGCTAAAATGGCAGCCTTGTAGTACAGTTTAACGTCTTGGAAGCTCATGCCCCCCCTCCCCGTTAGTCTTTTGATTGTGGAGTGTGCCACCCTGGGTGTTTTATTCGCCCATGTGAATCTCGTGATGGTTTTTTGTAGTTTGACCATATTGCCTGGGGATGGGGATCTGCAGCGTGCGGAATAAATATTGTAGTTTTGGCAACAGTGACATTTTAAATGCCGCTATGCGCCCATGCCATGAGTGGAAGTCACTGTTCCATTGATCTAACGTCTGAGTAATTTCCTGCAAGAGTTTCTCGTAATTGTATTTAAACATTTGGCAATTCGTCTTGGCTAGCTTGATCCCCAGAAATGTGATATAATCTTCCCTCCAGTCAAAGTTAAAGGATTCCGTCAGTGTTTGTAGGGTACGTCCTGGTAGGTGAATTCCCATCGCCTGTGTTTTTGTGAGATATTAGCGGTTGCGTCAGGGTCAAGAGTATGTCGTCTGCGAAGAGGTTGAGAGTGTACTCACTGTCCCCCACTTGGACGCCGTGGATATCAGGGTGAGTTCTGATCACTGCAGCCAGAGGCTCCAGTGCCAGTAAGTATAGCAGGGGGGACAGGGGGCACCCCTCTCTCGTTCCGTTGGTGATGACTATCTTTTTTGACACAAAACCTGAATTAAGGACCTGAGCTCTGGGTGCCGAATAGAGTGCTCTGACTACAGAAATGAAGCCCTCCGGTATCCCATACCGCTTTAGGGCCGCCTCCAGGAATCCCCATCCCAGCCGGTCGAAGGCTTTTTCTGCGTCCAATGAGAGCAGAACCCCCCCTTCCCGTGTCACCCCTAGGCTTTGCATGAGGTCAAGGACTTCTCTGGTGTTGTCTGCCCCCTGGCGCCCCGTCACGAATCCCACCTGATCATCATGTATAATGTGTGGTAGTATCGGACCCAGTCGAATAGCGTACAGTTTAGCCAGTATTTTGGTGTCAGTGTTGAGGGAAGGTTTAAAGTTTTGAGGGTAGGTTGGAGGTTTGCCCGGCTTGGGCAGAGTGATAATGTGGGCTAGCTGCATCTCCCCCGGTAGGGTTTGTGATCGTGCGGCTTCGTTAAAAACCTCTGTTAGGCAGGGGGCCAGTATATCTCTAAACTTGCTGTAATAAGAGTTGGCAAAGCCATCTGGGCCCGGGGCCTTGCCCCTTGGCAGCGTCTGTATGGTATCCCTTACCTCCTCTGGGGTGACTGGTCGGATGAGTGTTTCTTTCTGTTGAGTTTTCAGGGTCGGAAGGTTGAGTTTGTTTAGGTAAGTCTCTATCTCGGTATCTGTCGGGGTGGTTATGGTTGCGTCATTACGGAGGTTGTACAGGTCTCCATAGTATTGTGCAAACTCGTCGCTAATAGATAGCGGCGACATAACTTTCCCCCCTGCTTTTGTGTGTAGGAATGCTATCTTCTGTGACTGCTGTCGCTTTTTTAACCTCGATGCCAGCAGTTTACCCGCTCTATTCCCATGGGAGTAATGTGCTGTTATTTATTTTAATTTTTTTTGGTGAGGCTTTACAGGACAGAGTGCTTCTCCACGGGACATGTTAACTCACGGGCATCTGGCTCATCAAGGAACCAGAGCAGCTTTCCATGTACAGGTAAGACACGTGCAGCCGGTAAGGGTTCAGGCTCTTCTTCCTGGAGGATACGCTGCAAGACACAAGCATTGTAAGTCTACTTAGAGTTGGTGGATAAAGCAAATACAAAGAACAGTATTCATTGATCAATGCAGACACCGTATATCTTTGTTTAAGCTGCTGATCCCAAAGAGCCAGTCATTTCCAACTTCCTACTGGATTATATTCAAAGACTAAATGATTAAGCAAGCTTGCGGCCTACGAGAACTTGAACTGGGGTTAGGCGGCCACTTTCCCTGCGCTACAGATCATAGCGTCGACTTACGCTAGCCCCCATCGGACCAGTGGGGGTCATCCCTGACCCGGCTGGGCAATGGCACATTGATATTCAGAACCACAGATCACCCCTAAAGATTGTCGGTGGGCGAGGAGTGGCAGTGTCCTAGATGGTGGACGACCCTGCTCATGTTACTGAAGGCAGGATGAGGCACTAAGCTGACCTGAAGAACTTACACAGTCAAATAATGGCTAATCTGGAGGAAGCAGGAAGCCTGACTGTTTTTGGGACAAATGTTGTAGCCTGTTGAACGAGGTGACCTTGCTCGGGTCCCAGGTGTACGGTTCCTAAAATGGCTGCCATATACATGTCCACTGATAGGAGACGCGGAAGGTATTAAACTGATCAGAACAATACTAAACACACCACTCCTATCTGGTGGCACATTAGATTGCCCACTTGTATGCTTTGTTCTGTGGACTCACGTCATCCTTAATGAGGCGTTCCCTCATTTGGTCAGTTTTAGACTCGGGATAGTAACATGTAGAGTAATCAGTCGCCAGCCATGAAAGTAGAATAATGCCTGGAGCATCATCTTCATCTATAAATTTGACGATTGCAAATGTATTTGCTTCTGCCATATCCAACTTTCACAGAAAAGTAACTCACTCTTATGAAAAAAATAAGATAAAGTATACACAAAATAAATGATGAAAGTAATATTATATATCATGTACCCTTGCCTTCATTAAAAATGCAGTTAAGAAATGAATGAAATTACATAAACTGGATAGATTAATAAAACTTGCAGATTAGCCACTTCCATGCCATGTAATGTAATGGAAGGGGTTAATGCCCCCAGAGTGTCAGGCGTGTATTTTAAACACAGGACAACCCCTTGATTGAAATGCGTCCTTCCATGTTTCCAGTCAGGACCTGTCCCACCAGCCGTGTTGATTCTTAATGAGTTGAGGGATCTCTTCCCTTCACCTTAGCCAGACGGCTGGAGACCATAACAGTGCAGCCTTATTGCAGCCAAAGGCAGGCGAAATACTGCTTAAATAGCAGTACTGAGCTTTAGTCAACCTCACCTCTGATACGGTTTAAGATCCTTTCGCCTGCCATTTGGGTGACCTTGCTCGGGTCCCAGGTGTGCGGTTCCTAAAATGGCTGCCATATACACGTCCACTGATAGGAGATGCGAAAGGTATTAAACTGATCAGAACAATACTAAACACACCACTCAAATCTGGTGGCACATTAGATTTCCCGCGCAGTGCCCCAAATTTGAAGTAAGAGGGCCGACCAAGCATCTTCTTCCATCTCCCTGTTACAGAAATCACTGCCATATCCATACAAATTGTACAGAATCTCCAGGCTAGGTTTCCAGGGACAAATGTTGTCGCCTGTTGAACGAGGTGGCCTTGCTCAGGTCCCAGGTGTGCGGTTCCTAAAATGGCTGCCATATACATGTCCACTGATAGGAGATGCGAAAGGTATTAAACTGATAAGAATAGTACACCACTCCTATCAGTAGGTCCCCCCCATTGTGATTTATGCCCCCCACCCACCGCGCAGGGGTGGGGGCCGGGGGGGAGGACAGTAGGTCCCCCCATTGTGATTTATGGCCCCCACCCACCGCGCAGGGGTGGGGGCCGGGGGGGGGGAGGACAGTAGGTCCCCCCCAGTGTGTATCAGGGTCCCTGAGGACAGGTGTCAATCCATATCTGCCAAGTGACCCTATGTAGGGGGAACAGTCTCCTATTCTGCTCTGTGTCAGTGTGTATCAGGGGCTCTGAGGACAGGTGTCAATCCATATCTGCCAAGTGACCCTATGTAGGGGGAACAGTCTCTATTCTGCTCTGTGTCAGTGTGTATCATGGTCTCTGAGGACAGGTGTCAATCCATATCTGCCAAGTGACCCTATGTAGGAGGAACAGTCTCTATTCTGCTCTGGGTCAGTGTGTATCAGGGGCTCTGAGGACAGGTGTCAATCCATATCTGCCAAGTGACCCTATGTAGGAGGAACAGTCCCTATTCTGCTCTGTGTCAGTGTGTATCAGGTCTCTGAGGACAGGTGTCAATCCATATCTGCCAAGTGACCCTATGTAGGAGGAACAGTCCCTATTCTGCTCTGTGTCGGTGTGTATCAGGGATCCTTAGGACAGGTGTCAATCCATATCTGCCAAGTGACCCTATGTAGGGGGAACAGTCTCTATTCTGCTCTGTGTCAGTGTGTATCATGGTCTCTGAGGACAGGTGTCAATCCATATCTGCCAAGTGACCCTATGTAGGAGGAACAGTCCCTATTCTGCTCTGTGTCAGTGTGTATCAGGGATCCTTAGAACAGGTGTCAATCCATATCTGCCAAGTGACACTATGTAGGAGGAACAGTCCCTATTCTGCTCTGTGTCAGTGTGTATCAGGGGCTCTGAAGACAGGTGTCAATCCATATCTGCCAAGTGACCCTATGTAGGGGGAACAGTCTCTATTCTGCTCTGTGTCAGTGTGTATCATGGTCTCTGAGGACAGGTGTCAGTCCATATCTGCCAAGTGACCCTATGTAGGGTGAACAGTCTCTATTCTGCTCTGTGTCAGTGTGTATCATGGTCTCTGAGGACAGGTGTCAATCCATATCTGCCAAGTGACCCTATGTAGGGGGAACAGTCTCTATTCTGCTGTGTGTCAGTGTGTATCATGGTCTCTGAGGACAGGTGTCAATCCATATCTCCCAAGTGACCCTATGTAGGGGTAACAGTCCCTATTCTGATCTGTGTCAGTGTGTATCAGGGGCTCTGAGGACAGGTGTCAATCCATATCTGCCAAGTGACCTGATGTAGGGGGAACAGTCCCTATTCTGCTCTGTGTCAGTGTGTATCAGGGATCCTTAGGACAGGTGTCAATCCATATCTGCCAAGTGACGCTATGTAGGGGTAACAGTCTCTATTCTGCTCTGTGTCAGTGTGTATCATGGTCTCTGAGGACAGGTGTCAATCCATATCTGCCAAGTGACCCTATGTAGGAGGGAACAGTCCCTATTCTGCTCTGTGTCAGTGTGTATCAGGGATCCTTAGGACAGGTGTCAATCCATATCTGTCAAGTGACCCTATGTAGGGGGAACAGTCTCTATTCTGCTCTGTGTCAGTGTGTATCAGGGACCCTTAGGACAGGTGTCAATCCATATCTGCCAAGTGTAGGGGGAACAGTCCCTATTCTGCTCTGTGTGAGGAGGAGGAATGGGAAATGAGTAGCTCGGCAACCAACCTTGTGCAAATGGGGTCTTTCATGCTGTTGTGCCTGTTGAGGGACCCTCGTATAAAAAGGATGAAGGAGAACGACCTGTGCTGGGTGTCCACGCTTCTAGACCCCCGGTATAAGCAGACAGTGGCGGAAATGTGACCGAATTACAACAAGTCGGAAAGGACGAAGCATTTGCAAAATAAATTAAAAAGTATGCTTTACACAGCGTATAAGGGTGATGTCACAGCACAACGGGAATCTAACAGGGGAAGAGGTGAAAGTCATCCTCCTCCTCCCACGACCAAGCCATATCTGCCAAGTGACCCTATGTAGGAGGAACAGTCTCTATTCTGCTCTGTGTCAGTGTGTATCAGGGGCTCTGAGGACAGGTGTCAATCCATATGCCAAGGTGTCAATATGTCATATGTCAGGTGTCAATCCATATTGATTGTGATTTAGGAATGTTAGGTGATTTCAGCCCTTTATGGATTAAAACCAGACTCTGTATCAACTGTGTAATTTTCCATGGGAGTTTTGCCATGGATCCCCCTCCGGCATGCCACAGTCCAGGTGTTAGTCCCCTGGAAACAACTTTTCCATCACTATTGTGGCCAGAAAGAGTCCCTGTGTGTTTTAAAATTCGCCTGCCCATTGAAGTCTATGGCGGTTCGCCCGGTTCGCGAACATTTGCGGAAGTTCGCGTTCGCGAACCGAAAATTTCGTGTTCGCGAACCGAAAATTTCGTGTTCGCGACATCACTATTCAGTAGATATGATATTCTTGATTTCTTTCTATACTACTATCTTTAACTATCATACTCCTTTACTGTAACTAGTGCCCACGAAGGCACTATTCTTATTCCATGGATTTCCTTCTTTGGTAACTATATTAGCTTTACAATATACTCCTTATTAGTTGCTTGTGAAATCTGACAACTACAGAGTGTTAAAGCCATTTACTCAGTGTGCTAAATAACATATACGGGAGTGAAACAGACATATATCGGCAAATCAACTCTCGTTAAGAACCTATTGTATCAAACACTTTTTTTTGATATGCAGCTTTTACAGGTATCACAAGCGCACTGAATAGACCGATAACATTGCTCTCGCTAAGGGGTATGTATGAATGCACTGTGTAGCAGATGGCACCAGGCGACCCTACAAGAAATACTGTATAAAGCTGCATACGTGTATCTGCTGTAATTTCTGTGCATTTAAAAAGACTTGTATTCCTCTGATTGTTCGGTAGTTTCATTCCCTTAGTTTATTCGAA